CTGGTATCTCTACCAGAAGAAAACTCCACTATTTAGGTAATTATTCCACAAAGTAACAATTTACAAATTTTAAAGTGGAAAACGTAGTTCGATTAAACAATTAATTCTCCAATATGGAAAACCAATTAGCCTGTTCAGATTTTGTTGCACTCTTAAATTGAGTCGATTTGATACAGAAATAAAGTCAGAGGGGTATAAAATGAACGCGTACAAAAATGTGCTTCCCTAACGTCCATCTTAAGTTTGGTCGGTGAGCCCTCTGCCGCTGACCTGGAATCGTCAGCGGCCAACAGATGGCGCCGTAACCCCAAAATATAATCATGATGGACCTTGTAGCCACTTAACTCATACCTAGAAGAAGTACTACGTTGTCATAAATTAAAATAATAAATCTAAGACCTATCACGTAGCTCATTTTATAGAAGAAGGGACATGTTTAACTAATAATGGCATTAATCTGAAACATTAGGTACAGCTAATAGCAAATAATGTCCATAGTGTTTAACCTCTGTTAATTAAAAATATTTTAATGTACTGAACAGGTATTGCTCCTGATACCTATTGATATATTAATGAGTTACTTAATATATAGTTGAACACCTTTCAAATAACTGGGTGTTACTAACATGCGTTGGAAGTAAAACAGGTGCAACGAAACAACGTAAACAAAATTAAAAATACAACTAATTTCCTAAAATAAACGCTTAAGGCAAGACTACCATAATTTCAATAAGGACAATTAACTGTCATTTCTCGACTTTGAAGAGTTCAGTTATACAGATAACATGTAATTTAGAATATCAACCAGTTAGTAAAAATGGAATCAACCCTATTATGTTACCCTTTATTTGCCCTCTATGAAAAATAGGTACTAGAATTTTAAAACTAGATTTATAGTTTGAACAAATATAATTTGAACGTTATTCTTATTTATCTAGAACTTACGGATGTATTTTCGTGTGTGCTAATGATAGGGACTTTCCTCGTGTTGTATCAGTAGTTCAAAAATGAGAAAAGTAAGTCAATATGGTTAGCAGATTTCGAAATTTACCGGTAACAGCTGTGACATACAATGTGACTCCTGAAATTGGAATAGAGGTTATTACAGTCTTAAAACCAACACTCGATAATAAAAAAATATACCACAAATGTGGTCTAAAACCACAAAGTACATCCACAAATTTGAATGGCGCTGTAAATGAAAATTAACTGTATTACAATTAGTACATTCATCAAATTCAAATTCATCTTCAAAGAAAATAAATTTTTCATATTTATGAATTTCATAAATTCAATAACTACATAGATAAATAGTTGGTAGATACTGTAGATAGATGCTAGGTTTTAAAAACCAGACTATAGGTACTTCGTTCAGTTTTTGGTTAACCGGTCATATTAACGTTATCTTATTAATCATGATCGAAGCTTAATAGGCACATCAATTTTATAGGAATAATATACAGAACGGTCGCCCTAAAAACAAGAGCAATGAACGATGATGAAACCCTATAAAGGCATCGTAAGAATCAAGTAACGGCAATTTGCGGGCCAAACATTAACAAAAATAGTTTAAGAATGTCAAGAATTTAAAAGAAAAATGTGCCTATTTAAAATACAAAAAACGTTAAACATGACGGAAATTGAACAAATTCCTTTACATAATCGTTTTTTAAAACAAGACGTGTTTTGACTTTAAGTAAACAATAGATGTGAATAAATAACCGGAACCAAACATTACATAGTTTTGTGAAAAGGAATAATGTTTTATAAAAAATATCCACCTGCTCTTTTATTTTGAGACGTGTCTCCCCACAAATTGTAAGTTATGATGAGAGTTGTGTTCCAATTGTAATAATAACATCAATTGATTTAACGCTATTTTAGTGGAAGGAACAAAACGAGGTCACTGACCGGCAATTACGTCCTCCTAGAGACTCGTCCATTCCACAGCAGTAATGGATTCAAATGTTACTATTATAATTTTACTTTGTAATTTTATGATGTGAGTTTATTTTTCATTTTTAAACATAATAAGTAATATAAAAATATATGAAGCAATAAGATGGCAGGGCAAATAACAACGAGTTTTGTCTCAGTTATTGTTTAACCGGTGGAATTATTATGAAACACTTTTTTTAGAAATCTACTTTGATTCATGTTAAGATATGAAATATTTAAAACAAATATACTAGATACTTTCCGAACTGTATTAACTTCTTGTCTACTTTTGAAACTTTCTACTTTCCACGCTCTAAAAACATATTAGAAACATCGTATCGTTATGGATGCCACTTTATAATCGACCATTACTAAGATTTATCAGATTGAAAATTGTTTGTATTATTATTTATGGTTCATTTTTAATGAAGTAATTAATTGAACATATTGTTTTAGGGAATTAATTTTAAATGGTTTTAAGTGGTTACCTCCTATGAGTTGCGTTTAGGTACTTCGATGTAATAGCGGTGGCTAGGTGGAGCTGGTGGAGTGTTCATTAATATTTTATTAATACTAACTACTAAGTTGTTACAAAATCAAATCGTACAGAAAGCAATTATCGGCGTGTCCTTTCACTTACTTGTTGATAGTGGTGTGTGTATAAAGGCCCAATGGGACCGCAGCCGGTGTGCCACGGAAACCGGTCTGAGAGGCATGAGACTTGTGGCTCAAGGTACTATTACAATGTTGATCAATCGCATTTTGGAACAACGATTAAAACGGTTCTCATATTAAGAATAGTTAATTATTCAAGAAAGAGATTCCAATGTCTAGTTATGCATTCTTTTCAGGCAGTTGATTAATTAATTTCTTTTTTTTAGGAAACATAGCATTCTCTTGTATTATATTACGTTAATGCTGAATAAAAGCAACTCTTTATTAAACCTTAGTCAGATAAACTAATTGTCTTTTTAAAAATTAATTAATGAGCCGGTATCCGTAAAAATTACATTCTTGCCGCACCGAACACTGTCTAAGACTCTGGCTCTATGAATGTAACTTAATAGTAGATTTTGTCTAATAACTAAGATCTAATTTAAATATGAAATATCTCGGTAATTAAATTACTCAAAACAGTTAAATCTCTGCGTTTGAAATAAATATTAAAAAGTACCTATATGCATACCTATATAGGTATCATGAAATAATAATTGATATCATAATGATAGGCCATGTTTAGCTAGTTCCACAATTTCTATTAAACCATTTCAATAAATTTGTCCTCATCTAATGTCGCTTGAAATTCAAAGAAATACTGAAATGGTATTAAAAATATTATTAAGTGAATCTAACTATAAAACAATGATTATTATTTTATTTTAATTACATAATAATTAAATAGGTTACAACCTAAACGAACAGTTTAAAACAGAGAATGCCATTTGTGTGCGCAACTCTCGCCATTCAATATCGCAATCTTAAGAAATAGTAACTGGATCAAGTATTGGCGCAACTTGCAATAAGTAATATGAAATAAATATTACTTTTTTCTAAATGGACGCTAGTTTTTAACATTTAGAATAACCATAAATTGAGAAAATAAACTTGATAAAATAACTATCATAAGTTTATTGTAAAACGTTTCAGTTCTTGCCTCCTTCGTAAATTGAGTTGAGTTCGTTACATAATGTTCTACGAGGAATTTTAACTGAGCTACACCACAATCTAAGCTCAGAATAATTTGCTTTCATGAACCCATACAGATTATAATCAACAATTTACCCAATGGGGGCCGCAGGAAACTTAATTTTGTAGAAAAAGTAAAAAGCAATAAAATTGATCGTAACTATCATGTTGGGAAGCTAACGAGGTTGTTGTGTACCACGGTTATTGGTATTATACTTGTGATCGCGAAATTGTTCCCGCCCCGCTCATCATAGCACAGGAAACATCTCTTGAGGCCATGTCTAACAACATACTTGTCTATTATAATTACGATAAACTATTATTAGAGGGTTTCTTTCTACACTAGTCATATTTTTTTAAAACGCACTCTATGTATTTTATACGTCGACTATAGGTATCGTACGTAATAGATAGCTTAACAACAGGACAATATACAGGAAATTATTGATTTAATCTGAACAAATCAGGCAAATATTCGGAATTATGAATACTTACTAAATTGACTGCGTTTACGTTTTATTACATTAAGTTGATACAGTACAATATCCGAATCAATCCAAGGCTTATCCAACATTTTCAAAATCCGTACGATGCGATGCCTACTTGCATAAATGTTCTGGAATTAACTATGAACACGCACTTTACGACGTTTAATTTTCTTTGGTTAACCTACCAACTAATTAAAGTTGGACATTTAACTAATTTAAAAACTACTTGCATATAGCGGTAATTTTTAACTATCGTAAAAAAGCACATCGAGTATTCCAAACCACTTCACTCTTACGACTTTCAGTCGAATAGAAATAAAAGTAGTTTTTAAATAACATCACGCCCTTTATCCCCGAAGGAGTAGGCAGAGGTGCCCATTATGCCACTGTACAATGTAACACCCACTTTTCACTATTTATGTTATGAGTCCCATATAATAGGGGGTGAGCCTATTGCCATATATCGGGCACAATTCCAGACTCCGTGCTACTACTAAGATTTTTTTTTAAAACCCAGTGATACTTTACCCGATTCGGGAATCGAACCCGAATCCCCTTGCCCGGCAGTCGCATTTGCAACCACGAGACCAACTTTTTTTAAATTAATAATGAATACATGAGGTATAAATATATTTTATAGACCAAATAGTAAGTAGTAAATGGAGTAAGGGTTCTGAAATTTTCTAAGTATCTAATAGCATTAAGCCAGGGATTGTGCCACATACATTACTATTTGGGACTTTAAAATTACTGGTAAAACAAAAAAAATACAAAAACATGTCCATTTCATACTCCTTCAGGAATTAAGAAGCTTCAAGTTATAAATTGCGTAATTTCGATAAGTATATCTTTATGAACTATCTATATCTATTATTTCTATTGTTCCAGAGACCAGAAAACCTCGAGTCTCCGCTGTCAGTTCCTCGCGACGCAAAGAACAGCATTTACATTATGAATGATCAGGTTAGTAGCAACATAAAACCAGCTAAGATGTAACTTCTTATGTTTTTACTTTATTATGTACTCAACTGAAGATTTGAAAAACTTCAATCTTGCTTTAACCCCTCAAACGTCGTTATGAGCACCCTGTGGATCAAGAAAAAATGCTCCATACTGCTTTCTCTTTTATAAAATCGTATTATTAATGTTTTGTTTTTATTTTGACTGTATTTTTTATTTCTATTATATATCCTTGTTTTCGTGTGCCAATAGCCAAATAAATGCATTTTCTTTCTTTATTTCTTTCTTTCTCCAAATGTCACATGTGCACCCGTTGGATGATAAGGAACGCGGACGCTCGACGGGTTAAGGTCTTAATACTCGGAGTAGGTAACGGTTTTAATAGACAATGAAGGAAAAAGTTTTAAACATGAAAACAGAGTACTTAAAACACACTTAACCCAGACATACCTACTACGAAATTCTGTAAAATTTGAAGCTCAATCCAAAGACATGCCAATATTAAATGAGACATGTGTAGAGCATCATTTCAACGTAAAATAACCCAGAAAATCTAGAACAAGAAGCATTCCTAAAATCATTTGGTGTGTCAAAAGTAAAATTACGAATTAACTCACGCCTACATCGCTGAGCGGAAATATTCTTTTTGTTAAAAACGTTTAAATCTCAAGTATACTTATATAGCGACTTTATACTTCAGATAAAGGAAAATTACCGAAGTACATACACGTTACAATAATATAATTCCTTCTTTGTTTACTATCTATGTACGTAAATAGCATTTTTTTTTTTGTTATTTCTACAAAAAAGATCCACGTACATCATACAAACACGCCTGGTATGATACCTTTAGTACACCCAAATGCGATGTAAACGCTTCATTCGCTCTTAAAAACACTTTGCAATTTGTAAGAAATTAAAATGTGTACCTAATAATTTTATTACACGATAAATCCATCGGGAAACTTGTGAATCTAAACCTACGAAAATATTATGTAACCTAATCGTACGAGGTTTTCGTTTCATCCTTAGAGTTGAACATTCCATACAAAAAACAGTTCTAAATGTAAAGACGAGTAAAAGATAACAGGTTCCCTTTCTGGAGACCTCTGTCTTTTTTCTTTTTTGTTGTGGCATCCTGGAGTCTTGGATAGTCGTCGTTAGAGTATTTTATAGTTTGTTTTGTTTTTATTACAAAACAAACTTTCAAAATATCTTACCTTGTTGTTGAAGTGTTTGCAAAACTCCCCAAATGTCACTATTGAAGAAAACAGTCTTGAGTTCAATTCTTAGGTTGGATATGGTATGCTTGGAATCCTTTTCGATTTTTAAAACGTTTTCATTATTAAAAGCGCTTAATCTGGTACTATGCCCGGAGTAAGTCTATAGTCTCGCGATGTACATGTATGTACATTTAATATAGGTACCTAAGTAGAGCAAGATACGTAGGTACGTAAATGATAATAGTCTACTAATAACACACACATAATAAAAGTAAAATACACCAACAACAAAACAAGAGAACACCATACAATGGTACAATTATACTAAGAGCTTTTTATAGTCATTAACATTGTATGAAAACTTCACTTCTTGTTACCTTCTGTGATTCTCAGAGACTTTCTTACAATGTTTACCTATTGAATAAAGATAATAGTAAGAGTAATAGCTAAGTTTTAGAAAAAAATTGTTGATTAGGTAGTGATAACTTTTATTTTATTTAAAAGCATTTAAAGTTGAATTTGACAAAAAAGAGCAATAGGCAACGCATGACTACGACACGCTCGTGATTGCGAGTTGAAATCTTCCACTCGAATCTATTTCTATGCAGGCTTATTTCATTTTAATTTGATTTCTCGCCGTAATATAACTTCATTGAGCGAACCGAACACACCTAAATAATTTAAGTAATTTTCTCCTAAATTTGTGCTAGTTTATGTCGGTATTATAAATGTCGTTCGCGCTCTGATGGACAACCGGGCTTAAAGTTACAAAGGCAGAGCAATAACGTTTTATTCGCTTTGGAAACAGCTATAAAGTTCGCGAATATTTCAAGGACAGGTGTAGGGAACCCTTGTCACGCATGTTGTCGATTTCTTACCCTCCTAACTCAGGGTACTTTTGTGTAACAATAGAATAATGAATCCTATATTTAATACCTATTCATCAATTGGAATTCCTAATCGAATGTTCCCAGCGTACTTATTTTTGCTAATATAAATCACAAATCATGCACCGTATTGTCATACTTTTGTAAATCTTTTAGGCAATATATCTAAGTATTGTTAGTTTTTCCTTCTTCCCGTATTTATTATGATTTTAATTATAACGCAATTGGCAATTGCCTTGTGAAGGGTTACGAAAAATATTTTATTTTATTTAAGTTTTTTTTTGTATGTTCATCATCATCAACAGCCTATAAATGCCCACTGCTGAGCAAACCCTCTTCTCACACGGAGAAGGTTTGAACATTAATCACCGCGCTTGCTCAATGCGGGTTGGTGATTTCAAAGTTAGTGATTTTTTATATGTTACGCCAATGAAACTTCTTAATTCTAATATACTTATTGTAGCAATTGATATTACATTAGTTACCCGTTAATTTAAAAATAACATTAAATAATGTTAGCTATTCCCTTTAGCAATAATTTCAAATTAGTGCAAAAACAGATAACAGGAAAAGTCAACGAACTTACGTAAAGGATGTGTTGAACTCTTGAAGGGCCTCGACCTTTTCGCCGTATTGCTTATCTTATCCAATTTACCTTATAAAATGATTACGCAAACATTATCCTTGTAGTGTCCCTACTAAATCAATCAGTCGACATCTTTGGTCTTAATTACTTTAAGTAACAGTTTAAAACCTGTAAAAAACTCCTTATTAAAAAATTTTGCTGTAAATAAGTACCCATTTCATGTAATTATATAAACATCCTAATAGATGCATAAATTAGGAACGTGTCCTCCTTCATGTGTGTGTAAATATCTAAGGTGTGAAACTAAGGTCTTGGATTTAAACAGAATATTTCGGTGTATTTCGGTTTTCGAATAAAAATCGCAATCAGTTTTCCAGCTACAGTACCTAACCAGTTTTAAATCAGTTATGTCGAAATCTGTTCTTTTAAATAAAATACCCGATAGCAATTTCTAAAATTGTAATCGATTTATCTGTTTGTTTCAGACATTTCACACACCATCCTTTGGCGACGAAGAGTTTGACATTCCACTGATACATGGACAGCATGCACCTAACACTGGCGTTCAAAACTCTCACATACAGTACACGCAGTTACACCATTCGGCTCCACAGGTTAGTATTAAACAAGTCGTCTCGAAAATTTGTATTAATGGGTAAGTTTGAAATCGCCAAGCGTGGTGATCAATGGTTAAACCTTCTCCGTGGGTGAAGCAGCTGCAGTAGACCTTCTCAGCAGTGGTCACTTATAGGCCTTATATGATGACGATGGGTAAATATGAAATGACGAGACATTGCGACATAATCAGTATCTAAGTTTAAAGATATCTTCTCCTCTATTAATCTAAACAAACATAAGTACTTACCTACTAAAATTTAACGTCCTCGTCGTAAATTCCTAGTAATTAATGATTACTTACCAACTAACACTCAGTAGATAATTATTATATAAGCAGGTACCTTAATGCTTCTCCATATTTTTACCCGAGACATGTATTAAATAATTATCTTTAGTGAATCTAATAAGAGAAAAATGGATTGTTCACTTTTCATCCTATAGGCTTAACTGCAGTTTAGCATGATTAGTATTGCTACTTTAAAAAAACAATTTAGATTTTATCCACACTAATAAGTAATGAATTGACAACCATTTTATAGGTAAGAAACATTTTGTTTCCCTTAGACTTGAAATTGAAATTAGACATTATATTACAACGCAACGTAAAAAAAAACTAATTCCTGTCGTTCGTTCTTAGATCAATACAATATTTTTTCAAGCAAATGGAACCTAGAAGTTACACAATAACGTTCGATATCTGTCCTACTTTTTAGATTGGTTTTATTGAAATTGAATTGCTTCCAATAGATGGGTTAGGCACCTCCCACTATACATTTCACAAAGTTAATTTAGTCAAAAACCAACTGTTTTGTTGATTCAATTTAGTATTTATGATCCGTTTATAGTCGTTAAAATAGATAGATATATGTAGGTATATTTAGGTACCATACAGTTCACCGAAAATACCTTAACTGCTCGCAAATAAAAATATTATTTTTAACCAGTTCTTCGACTTACTTATTCATTTTTCTGATACCTACCTGATTAATAAAATGTGTATTTAGCCAGAAATAATATTGGTTAAATAAAAATACAGGATTCGAAACAACTGTTGTTTTTTTACTTTTGCTTTCACGATATAAACGATTACGCCGATAGATTATTATTGTGAACACATCATTACCATCAGGTGACTGGTCTGCTCGTTTGCTTTCTATTCCATAAAAAACACACTTGTTACAGTATTTTTTTTAAGGGAATAAAACTCTTATTCTTTATAATTTAAAGAAATAAAAAATATATACATAATGTTTAAAACACCTACCCCTCCGACAAGCCCGATGTTACTTCTTAGCTAATTTGGTCAAATACATAAATCAAAATAGTGCGAATTGACTAAATTTATGTACCTACTTCCGGTAATAAATAGGCATCATTATACATCGAAGGCAAAGAATAGTTTTATTTTTAAATTTATCCGTTTTAAAATTACCGCCGCGCCGAAGTAAGTATATAGGCCAGTGCCACGTGGCATCATGGCATAATGGCATGGCTTATCCTTTTTAGTAATAGACAATTTATAATAGAGCGCCGCTTAGTTCATTTTTAGAACTTTGTAGTGATGTACCTAACCTAATAGTAACAGTAAAGCCTAATGGGGTAAAGGCCTTGTCTCTTACTGTAGTTTGACAGATGACGTTCCGCTATTTGAGTGTTTGACAAATATGAATGACACAAATAATGGCAATGTGACAAAATTTACATCAAAAGTTATACGCTATTTGCTATGATTCTTATTTCGCCTGCCTTTATCTTAGTTATAGTTTTGTTAATATAAAACGAGATATATTAGTGTGTAACTTGTAACTCAAGTTACACAACTTTCATAAAAACACATTGCTTTCAAAATAATGTCCTTTGTTCCGTCTACAAGTTGTAATCGTTTCTATTTTATAATTTAAACTTAAGTGACCGGCTTTTTCTGTAAATACTAATTGGCTTGAAAATAACAGACCAATTCTAAAACGTATGCCAAAGATGCTAACAGTTTTAACGAAGAAAAAGATGACAAAAAAAATTGTTTATCTTAGGTTGGTATGATGAACCCGGCACAAGATGGCCTAGCACCACCTGGCGGTGCTCCTTCTTATCAGCAGCCGCTGTACCTACAAGAACCACACACTCCGGTAACATCACACAGGTGAGTACTTACTTGACATCCAGTACAATAATTATTCTTATACAGACATTTATATACTTTAAATTAATTAACCACTTAAAAATAGTGTACAAGCTGTGGTTCAATGTTCTATCCCAAACACATAAGCTTATTCAGCATTATTTTATTTTACTAGCATTAGGTCATCCTAAGCATCAATGTCTAAGTCATTATCTATCTATATAATATTATGTACCATTCTGATCTGGGACTTAAAGAAAATCATAGACAGGCAATAAATAGCCACAAAATACAAGTACAACATTTTTTTGCACTTTACATCATTCACTAATTTCACAACTTTACACTTTACATAACCACAAATAAACAACATTGGCCACAATATTATAAATCTTTATCCTTGATCTTACACTGTAAAATAAATTAATCCAGTTAGTAACAATTAATGTACAACCAATAATATAAGACATTTTTGGCATGACAAGTATTTTGATATTTTTTCTTTATCTTCACAGTAGTTTCATGTGTGTTCAACCTTTATTTTCTCACAAAACACTTTTAATTTGTTATCTGCAAAATTTTCTATGCTTTTTTTGTATTACTTGAGTCACAATTGCTCTAAAATAACATTCATGAACATTTTTAAAATTTATATAATTATGTATTGGGTACACTGTTTTTTCTTTAATTCCCAGATCTGCATGGAAACACACAGACAATGTCATGATTAAAATGTAAGTTTACAGACTTTCATAATTAATAAATTAATCAATTGGTGTTATTTTAGTTTTATACAGATTTATAACAATAGAATTAACTTGCAGTGGAGCTGGTGCGCCTGCTGGAAACTACATGATCCAGCAACAGCCTGGAGGTCAACAGAGGTTATTGATGCTACAGCCAACCCAAGTCATGAGTGGACCACCAACTCCTAGTACTCCCACACAACCATCAGCTCCAGTATACGGATCCCCGCAGCGAGCCTCTCCCCCTGGCACCACCAGTGATGACTCTGATGACAGTGTGCCTTCACACCATTCACAGGTACCGCAGTTTTTCAAAACACACATTTTTATTAGTCTTATTTTCTATACATTTAGTCTGTATATTTTTTGGTAGACACTAAACTAGTTTTAAGTCTGTAAATAATCTTTTTATATACTTACTTTTAAATCATCATAACATATGGACAAGTTTTCATTATACAATAATAAAAAAGGCAGCTCATAAATAACTCAATTTGTATACATGTATTTTATTAGTGTGCATGCTTTATTTAATATTAACACTAGCAGGCAATGCAGGAATGCTTACTTATCATTTTTATGTTGTGGCATGTGCATGAAGGAAATTCAATATTTCTGATATATGATAGCCTGAAATGTAGGTTACAGTAGTTTAGTCACATTATTGAAAAAAGTTCTATTAACTTCCTTTCAATTTTTAATACTAAAGAAATAAGTTCTATTTTACCGTTGAAAAGAAATGTTTTTAAATACAAATAAAGAATTATTTTGCTGCATGACAAGTTTAATTATAAGAGCAAACATCACTATAGCAAATTTTAAATTACACCTATCTTTTACCTATGTTTATTTTAATTAGTGTAGTCTATTTCTTAGAGATATAGTTCATTGGCATCCTTTTTTATTTGTAGTTATAAAAATATGAACAAATCAAACAGTAGAAATATAAGTATAAAATTCTAATGAATTGGTTGTTTGTTGGTAGTTGCCTGGTGATGCGGAAAGCCTTCTGCCTATCCATTATTGCTCAGCGAGCCGGCAGCAACAAACTACGCTTCATCAGGTATAGGCAAATTTTATCGCTTTTCATAACCTACATATGTTTAGAAACATATTCACATTTTTGTTACCTATATGTTTATGTTGCCAATGAACTGTATTTTTAGAATATTTTAATTTAATACAAAATTACTTATAAAATATGAACAAAAATGTAAATTCAACTTTACTTACAGATGGGTGTTGGGAACATGGCAGTAAAACGATCATCACCTGAACCTATGGATAATGGAATGAATCGTGGACAGATGCAGAAAAAACCTAAAGTTCAGAAAAAGAAGAAAAAACGAGACCCCAATGAACCTCAAAAGTAAGTGATACTTGCCTATGAAGAATAAATATTACGTCTCTTGTATAATGTATAACTAACTTATTGTGTATGTGCAGGCCTGTATCTGCATACGCTTTATTCTTTCGAGATACTCAAGCCGCAATCAAAGGTCAAAATCCAAATGCAAGTTTCGGTGAAGTGTCTAAAATCGTAGCGTCCATGTGGGATGGATTAGACTCTGAACACAAAAGTGTGAGTATTCTTATCAACATTTTATTAAATTCTTGTGCAATGTATGTTAAAAATGCATCATAAAATTGTACGTTTTATTACAGGTCTATAAACAAAAAACAGAAGTCGCCAAGAAGGAATATCTGAAAGCACTTGCTGCGTACAGAGCTAGCCTGGTATCAAAGGTATTTACTATTTTATTTTATAATAAAACCTTTTTCACATTAAATATTTTAATAACTAACTGTAGGTAATTACTAAAAAATTTTACTACTAAATGCTACTTAGAAGTACAGTTCTCATAATCTTTAATTTATCCTTCTATCCGATGAATGCTTTTGTAATCTTTATTTGTACTTCATACTTTCTCAATTAAATTTTTTATTAATAAAACACAATTTTTAGGAAGTAATCTTATGCCATCTACCGTCTGTACTTTAACACAAGCATATGAATAGTGTTTTGCCGTACTCATAGATGGCGCTATTCTATAACTTTGTCGATTTGACAGTTGTCCACTCTCGGAAAGCTTTTGTTGTAGCTTTCTTGTTTAGATACCTTAAAATTTACTTATAACTATAAAGTACCTTACTGTTTTATACGAATAATTTACCTCAAACTGTGCAGTAAAGTTAAATGTCACATCCTCCCAATTCAAGTCTGGTAAGAAAGAGTTCATCCGAAAGCTTGGTGAATTTTGAGGTTAGGAACTTTAAAGTGAGCTTATTTTGTACACAATATTATTATACCATTAACGTTTTTATATGTCTATTCAATTTGAAGTCTTATTAGAATGTTTTTTTTTCCAAATCTTATATTGCGTATTTTATATGTGCAAATTATGTTGTAGTCGTAATGTGTACGTACTATAGTCAGAATTTTAATTAGATTCCAGATTTGACAATAGCTACTGTCATTTTGTGAAATAATGATACCACATATAATAGTGTAGTGATGCACACCAAAATCGATAAACAATCAGTGTGTGTGTTTTATAATAAATGTTACAGAAAGTGTCAGGATAGCGATAACGATGACGGCGACAATTTATAAAATAACTTATTACCATAATACATCTATCTGTTTTATTTGTCATGTTCCTTCATGATTACATTTTTTTATTTATTTCTCACACAATTATAAAAGAAACGACTCAGATCGTTAATTAATTGTCAAAACTAAATTATCGGTTCAGAAATATTTAATTTCCTGATATACTTAGTTCACGAGAGTAAAATTATAATTATTATAAACGAGAAGAATCGATCCAGAAATATTGCATTTCCATATCGAATAATTTCGCAACGTCACTATTTAGTACTTGTCATAACGTTGCCACACTGAAATTGTCAAATCTGGAATCGAATTAAAATTCCGAGTATAGTAGTAACATTATTATTGATTACTAACAGCATTCACCGGCTTTTTGTTGGTACTGTTATTAAATTATGACACAACTAAGGAAATAATTCAATGTATGTTTAAATAATACGGTCGAATAAAAATTCAATATATACTTGAAAGTATGTTTTAGAATTTAGAATTGTAATAATACAAATTGTATAACTAAAATTGGCTATCAGCTATTGAAACCAAAAGTGTCTCTTATATTTTTAATATTGCTTTTACTATCTAAATATGCTTTTTAGGGAGGAGAGCAGGAGAGTCAGCCGATGTATAATCACACCAATAGTGCCAATCCAACATATGGTAACTATTATCAAGGGCAAACATATGGTAATGGTCATTCGCCTCAGGCCTATGCTCCAAACCCCGCTCCACAAGGATATTCTCCACAAAATTACTCTGGTAACCAGAATCAGTCATCCTACCCTGCTCAGACACCTCAGGGCTACCCACCAAACCCTCAGCAGTCTCCTCAAAACTATCAAGGCAATATGAGTCTCACACCTCAAACATACCAGGTAAGGATTGAGGGATTATGAAAATTGTTAAATGTCCAGTAATCAACTTACAACAATAACTTGATTGAATAATTTAATAATTAGTATATCACTTGTAAAATTAACAAACCAATCTGTTAAAAGGTATACAATTTCTGTATAATAATATTTTTTTATATTTATTGACAAGTAATTTTATCATGAGTAATTTGTATCTTGACATATTTTTTATTTTATTTTCAGCAGGGTGTGCCCAATCAATCTCCTCAGAGTTATCAAGTGAACCCTTCCACTTCACCACAAGGTTGCCAGCCTAATCTTGCCCAATCGCCAAGGAACTACCAGCCTGCACAGTCCCCTACTAACTACCCTAACAATTCAGCCTTATCACCTCCTGGATACAGACAAGTGCAGTCACAGTCGCCTCCCATGGGCTCCGTGCATGCTGCCATGCAGTATCATCACTCTCAGCAACAGGTATGTACTTGAGTGATTAATACTTTTAGTAACAGATACAATACTTTTATTCAATTAGTTATGATATATTACAGTTGATTACATTTTAAATTTATTTTAGCATATGCAGCAGACCCACCAACAGATGCAGCAAGCTCATCAAGTACAGCAGTACCAACAACAACAACAGCAACTTCATCAGCAACAACAGCAACAGCAGCAGCAACAACAGCAACAGCAGCAGCAACAACAACAACAGCAGCAACAACAGCAGCAACAGCAACAACAGCAGTCTCAGCAACCATCTCAACAACAAAATCAAATTCAAAAATCTGAACAACAATCTAATAGCAATGGAAATTCTGGTGTCCCACAACAATCAGCTGATGTAAATTACTTTCATTTAAGATAATTAACATTTTAATATTGTTTCCCTTTACTTTCAAAGTTTGCCCAGAACTAATTCAAATTAATCGAAATTCTGATTGCATAAATATCTTATGACAGGTTAAATACTGTTACACAGTTCTCCCACTACCTTCTCAAATGCCAATATTGAAATGTATTAAGAAAAATATATCATTACAGCAAAATGAAAATCGAAGTACGCCATCATGTATCCGGCAGGGGTGTACTAACCCAGCTATTGCTAACAGTGAATGGGAAGATGAATACTGCTCTAATGAATGTGTTGTTAGCCATTGCAGGTAATAATATCATTTATTTCATTTACATTACATTAATGGGAACTGTCACTTGTAATAAGATACAATGCAACTGTGTTCGCTCTTGGCATTAACTTAATTTACTTTGTAACTTCCAGAGATGTCTTCAGTTCCTGGGTGGCATCCAATAACAGTAACCAAATTCAAAACTTTTCTGCAGTCAAATAAACATCGTAACTACATAGGTACATATCAAATTTAATAAATTCACTCTTGTATGAACTTCAAGAATAAATCTTTAGTTTATAAGAATCCTTGGATTTATTGTTTAAGTATTTTATTAATTTTATATGTTGTGATAATTGGAATTCTTAAGATTATCTGTTACGAATCTATTTAAGTGTGGAACAGATTTGTTAATTTATATGTTGTACATTTTATTGAAGGTCTAACCAGGCTCATCTGTGCCATATTGCTTACCCTTATATATTTAGGACTACTTCATGAATTGACAATGCTTACATTAGCATGAACATAATTAGTATACTCTAAATTTTTTAAATATAGACAAGTGTTAAAGGATATGGCACAGCTGCATGGTGTTACACCTGACTAGTTAATTTTACTAAATTTGTTAGAAATTATATTAATTTTTATTTTCATTTGCTGGAATTTTAGAAAAACATCCGATAATTACATACTTATTGTATAATAAATTGTGTAAACTGTTAGTTTGAATTACACATTAAATGTTTTTACAGTTGGTCATTGTGTTGTATCTATTAAAAAACGAATGAGATCATCTAGAAGACAAAAATCTTCTATAAATAGGGGTTTTTTTATTATAAAATAAATATTTGTGATGCAGTAACCTACCAATACAACAGGCATGCATTTGTTAACTTGAGAATTTTCTATTAGACACTTCCAATAATCAACTGTAAAGATACTCAAGTTTTTGTAAAAAATTCATAGGCAGTACTGGTTAATAAATACTCTGAATAATTTAAATGCGTCATATTTATCCTAATTAAATAAGACAATGTATGTCATACTATTTCTCTATTTTAGGAACATTCCTAACTAGTCTATGATCATAATTATTATTCTTATAAAAACAACAAAGTACTGCCTTGAATTACAGTACAGCACAGTGTAGTAAAGTGTAAAATATTTTTTTAAATTACCGACATATTTCGGATAGTTATTAGCCGAAATAATCATATAAAGGACTGTTAGATAAGACAAAGTTTCATAATAATAATACTCTTACATATTAGATTGATATTAAAGTAAATTGAATGCAATAACGTTCGTTGATGAGTGCTAAAAATACTTCCATTAATTTCATATTTATTCTAAAATGTTAGTGTATCTGTATATTACATAAGTCGTTCGGAAAACCGAGAGGCAGTGCATTATATTAAATGATAAAAATCTGTGTATTATTTTGCAGTATTTATGAAGTTAAATTATTGTTTTTAAACTATAGCATTTATTCTTCTTCTAAAATGTTAAAATGGCAATTGTCATCGCCACACGTCGTTGAGGCTATAGAGCAGACGTGTATTTAGATTTGGAAAATTAGCACCTATTATGGCATAGGTGACATACTAAATGTTAATATGAATATTAACGATAAATTTTACGATTGTATCGTATTTTGCGTAAACTTAGTAAATACATTATGGTTATGATTAGCAAGTTTTAATACTTTACTGCATTGTAAATTTCTAATTATGAAACTAATAGCAATATCTACCCATTTCTCTAGGAGTTGCGTTTAGTATGATAGGATTTAGCTGGACCAAAATTTTCTTTATATTCAAAGCAATGATAATATTTTAAGATAAAATATGTTTTATTGTATGTCCAATACCTTATGATATAGTGATGTAATTGTAAATAAACACTCGCAATAATAGACGTAGATGTAGAGACTACATAAGGCATATTTTTTTTATTTCATGTTATTTATTAGTAGTCTCATTAGAACTACTTTATTTAGATAAAAGTTATATTAAAAAATGTAAGATATGACAATGTATAAATTGTAATTAGAAAAGTGATTCCATTAAATTTCTTAAACAGCAAATCATGCGTTTTCGTTAAATCCAATCCCAAATGCATCTAATTGAAATCGAAAATGCTATCGCTATATAAATAAAATGCGACTGATATATAATAAATATTAATACATCAATGTAAATTACAGTCCAGGGGGCTTAGTCTTGAATCCAATTTCCCAACGATCGACCTTTGTAAAATTTTGTACACTTGAGTTACAACACTAGCGCCTATTGCATCCGTATAGTATGGATATTGAATGAACTAAATGGTGTTGAGTTAGGCTTTATATTCCGTGCTCTAGATGCTAATAGAACAGCTACGATTGTGGTTGAATAGTTGAGTATTTACATTAATTATTATTGAGGTTTTACTGGATTGAAATTGCATTGACATTGAGATTGGTTTCAAGAGTATGCACCTTAGTCAATATACAAAAATACTATTTTATTACTTAAATAAAATTAAACGGAGATTCCTGACTTCGAATCCGAGGCTGAGACTTAACAAAAAATCGAATCGGTGTCTATTAATGCTTAATCATTACACGACTTATTTGCAATATTCATAACCCCATTTTAAAAAACTGTTTCGTTTATTCGTGCGTACCCCAACCAAGATCTATTGTTAGGTATTTGCGCTTTCCACACCCACTCTACACACCAGGCTTTCTAAAATTTACTGGTCCGGTCCCGGATATACTAGATTTACTGTTAAAGTAGTAAAAAACTCTAAGCAAATCACTATACAATTAAAACTTCTAAATAGACCACGTACTTAGATTACAAATTGTTGTAGTGAAGGGTAGACAGGTTGTCACTACAGAGCATGGTAATTATCACTACGTACGCAGTGTATGTTACTGAAGTAATTACCTAAAAAATTTAAAAACTGCGTTTAAAAAAACCGACTTCAAAAACAAATGACACACAAAAAGTAAAAACTAAAAAGGAAAAAAAAAACTATTAGTGGTCATACGTACTTATAGCTTACACACCCACTGATAGGTTAGAAGTCGGTGCCACAAGTTTTAAACAAAATTATTCATTAAAACCTTAATAGATACCTAACATTATTAAGCTGTTTACAATTTTATTATGGATTATACCAACTGTGACTTTTGTCTACTTTATATTTTATTGTGGGTTTGTGGCACCGACTTCTAACCTATCAGTGGGTGTGTAAGCTATAAGTACACAAAGCACCGCTAATTAGTTGCAGCGCTACACATCGACACAACTGTCATTTACACAGTGTACATGTGTGCGTAATTTCATATAACTGTATATAAAAATATTCGTCCACCACGTTCACATTGGTATTTTCATTCTTGTGTCGGTATACGTATTTTTATAATTTAATGCATAGGTAAGGTTAAAACTATTTACAATCATTGATATGACCCGACATTTTCACTGTCATTATCGTAGTGCTCGTGGTCGATTGGTTAATGAGCACGCTTTTATCGTCTTTCAAGGATCAATGATGTGGGTTCTATTCCAGCTAAAAGTTAATTTTATTTTACCTTGTTATTTTTCTTATTTTTTTTTTTTTGTTTTTTGTCATAAAATATAAATATCAGGCTATAAAAGAAGCAAATGAGTTGGTAAATAAAACAATACTATTTTTTATTACAATTAATTTATTTATTATACAAATATGTTGTTTTATATTCAATATTTATATCTAATAATTAATTATATACCACATGTTAAGTTTAAAGTTCTTTAAATCATAATTAATAGATATGACAATAAACCTCATAGTCGAATCGGGAAATATCATGCGGTACAGCGGTAATACGATGGCAGCAACATTTTTTATTAAGTAGGTAATAAACAAATATACAACATTCTTGTTTTGTAATTTAATAATATAATGTATTATTAAATTACAGTTTTACAGTAATAAACAAGTAAAACATGTAAAAAATTACACTGTCAACATAATATTTCTTGAAATGGGCGACTTTTTGTCGTTTGAACTTCCATTAATTATCTATTTTACGACGGTTGTTATAAGGTTCAATATTCAGTGGGCTGTATGATAGTAAAAAGAATGTGACGAATGCTATGGAACGATTTTAACTTTCATGACCTTTAGAATCAGGGAAACTTTAAATTAATTGAAGATGGGCGTAAATATAATATGTCAATCAAGTTCGAAAGCAGTTAAATAAATTTGTTAATGAAAAATTAAAGTGAAGTGAATAAACATGTTGAATAGAAAGAAATTATGACAATTTCTAACCACAAAACAATAACATCACTTCACCGTATGTTCTAGACAGCATTTTAATATTCTTAAAAAAATTAAACATTTTTTATGTTAATTTTAATAAAGGCAGAGTTTGACAGGCTCAATAATTGATTCCGAAATCAATACAATCACTGATCCTACAAGGCAGAAGGTTGCAATTCGTATACCTTTCTCCATCTTTTCTTCACAATATTTTACGCCCATCCTTATCCGACTTGAAAGTCTTTTCGTCGCTCAATATGATTACACTGTTCGCCCAATCAAAATTAATAAAGTCCTTAGCAAATTCTTAGCGCTTTTGCTGGTGAACCACAGATAACAATATTTTCTTCTCTGGCTTCCTGCACCTTAAACCAGAATGCAGGTGTCTCCGTACAGTTTGTATTAAAACATTCAGTGCTGTCGCTGTAGTGCGGGTTGGCAGGAACGGATCAGCCATGTGCCTGGCTACGATGTCGTAGTGCCGAGCCGATGAATTTGCCTTGGTTTAGGCCCACGTCGACGATGTTTAACGTCACCGGTCTCCGCATATCTGTGCACCCATAACTGCATGGATCTCCTCTGTTGATACCAAACAAATAAGTATTTAAAATACCAGGAAATACTTTACAGGAATTAAAGTTACTTAAAAATAATAATAAATATAAGTAAACACAATGTTAGAATAATAATTTATAATTAAGTAGTGGCGTAAGGAATAAAAATCCCTAACCAGATATGTTTTAAAGAAACACTCCTAACAAAAACAAGTCAAGTTACAATACAATTAATAATAAATTATTAATATATCTTTATAATATTGAACTTCATAATAAGTTGCAATAATTATTTTATTCTAGTGCAAAAATTGGTGTGTCGAGTTACAAAATGAAATAAATATTATTTAGAATATCAACGTAGTATCTTATTTACTCACCGATATCATTAAACGCCTTGCTATTTCAGTTATTGTTAGTTATGTTTTGCTCATGCAAAACAATGGTTTCAGCCTTTTTAAATGTTGATAGGTGTTGGAACATCTTGTAAAAATAAAAATAACTTTGCACACGAATATAAGTAGTGTAGCAATAAACTATGAAATCCTCATAAATTGACAACTAAGAACGCAATTATTTTGTAAGTCGGGTGATTTGAAAAACATGTTTTAAATAGTCGGTAGTTACTTCATAAGCGTGTAAAATAAAATGACTCGAGATTTCTATGGTCGCCACAAACATTGCAAATATACTCAGGTATCGAACCATTAAGAAATCACAGTTAATTACTTTTTTACTGTTTTTATCTTATTTAAGTTGGTTGAAATGCATGAAGCAAATGAGATTATTCTAAATAATAAATAACTAGAACTAAAATATAAATAAAAGATATTATAGGTATAAATAAATCTAAAGTATTTACTATTAAAATTAACATAAGATTTAGAACAATAGGAAAGGAAAAAAAAGAAAAGATTTAATTGTTTCTAATTTCAAATATTTGATACATTAATTCTAAAACAACATGTGAATGTTGGAATCGATCCGGCGGCACTTTACTTGACAATTGGAGGCGATAACCATTGCGCCAAGCGCGCTGTAGATGAGATCATCGAAATATTTTATATCATTCAGTAACATAAAATTACAATGAGAAAGCACTATATTTATATGGGTATTGTATAGCTCGATCGTTCATTATTTTTGATTTCGATTTATTCAAAGTTTGTTATGAGTAATTTTATCTTTACCCTCGTTTTTATTTAAACTTATTTACTAAATTATTGCGTATACCGACACAAAAATGATTTTTAAATACCAAGATGTGTGTGATAGACGAATGTTTCTATACATATCTATTGATATGAAATTACCCACACATGTATATTGTGTAAATGATAGTTGTGTCGATGTGTAGCGCCGCTAACTAATTAGCGGTGCTTTGTGTACGTATGACCACTAATAGTTTTTTTTTTCCTTTTTAGTTTTTACTTTTTGTGTGTCATTTGTTTTTGAAGTCGGTTTTTTTAAACGCAGTTTTTAAATTTTATTTTATACTTTTTAGTTTAGTACTTTGATATATTATATTATACAAAACCCACATGGATGCAAAGTTTTCATCAATACAAATTATGCAAGTTCAAACACCGGGTGGGTACTCTTAACCATTGAGGAGTCCCTTAGCTATCATACTACTTCGTCATTGGACCTTTAATGACCATCACCCTCCCCCATCTAGGTGTAAAGTCCTCATCAATACAAATTAATCAAACGTAAACACAAAATAGCTACTGTTAACCGTTAAGGAGTTCCCTCAACTATCGTACTATTTCTTCATCAGACCCTTATTGACAATTACACCCCACTCAGGTGTAAGTCCTCATCAATACAAATTAATCAAACCAAACACAAGGTAGCTAGTGTTAACCTTTGAGGAGTTCCCAACTATCGTACTACTTCATCATCAGACCCTTATTATCAATTACACCCCACTGAGGTGTAAAGTCCTCTCAATACAAATTAATCAAACCCAAACACAAAGTAGCTACTGTTAACCGTTGAGGAGTTCCCTCAACTATCGTACTACTTCATCATCAGACCCTTATTGACAATTACACCGCACTCAGGTGTAAAGTCCTCATCAATACAAATTAATCAAACCAAAACACAAGGTAGCTACTGTTAACCGTTGAGGAGTTCCCAACTGGCCTCGGCTCCATCATCAGATCGGCTCAGACCTTTATCAGATTGTAGTGGTTTTTAATACTTAATGAAAAATTAACAAATGCCTTAGTCACCCCTATAATTTTTTAAAAGTTCCCCTCGGTTTCCTGGTCTTCCATCATCAGATCCTGATTTCCTTATCATGGGACCATTCTGGAACTATCTCTTTCTAACAAAAAAGAATTTTCAAAATCGGTTTATAAACAACGGAGATATCGGCGAACAAACATAAAAAAAAAAAAAGCATATATACGGTCGAATTGAGAACCTCCTCCTTTTTTTGAAGTCGGTTAAAAATCACTTGGCATTTCCTGAAAAAATAATAAACGCAATGTGCAGGCATGCCAAGGAACGGTTACTGAGTGAACGTGTTGGCAAGGGGGATTATTATCTTAATGCGTATGTGGATTTATACGAATAACACATACGATTGAATCTTGAGGGAATCGAACCCCCGACTTGTACAACGAGATGCCCATAGAGTAATAAGGTAATGCTATGAGAACATATCAATAGCCTCTATGGAATACATTGAGGTACTTTTGCTATATCAATTTTCGGCTCTACCATTAATATGTCTGTCACGGGAAGGACGCAGGAGAAGGAACGGGGTGATTTTTAGTAAGTAAGAGTCTAACAATCCCTTCCGCCTCACCCGGGCGAGAGAAGTCATTTGATGATTTTCCCCCCTTTAAAAAAATAACTCGATGATTTCCCCCCTTCAAAAAAAATACCTTAAACATTTAATATGTATATTTTAGTTTTTTCTTCTCCTCTTATAATATCTTCTGATTCATTTCGTTGCGGGAACCAAGACAGTTACTCATGTCCCTGGGACGCGCCGGACTTCAGTGTTCCGGTGTTTTCATGGTTGTATCTACTGTAGATCCTGGCTTACAGGAGTTGCAGCGGTTTTGGGAGGTTGTGGCGGGCTTGTCCCATTATAAAAAAAAAAAATTAATATGTCTATAAAATTAAAAATTTTATTTTCGTCAGGCAAGTTGATATTAAAAGTAAATAAATTGATAAATATTCTGGCAACATCGATAATTAAATTCAAAACGAATCTGTCGACGTCAACATCATGCTTCAACTATAGTGATGGACAACGCCCAAAATACTATTCTCATTAATTCATTCGAATCGATATAATTAATATCGATTTATATTAAACAAAATGCACGCATTATTTATTACTAAGTAAATCCACTATTATTTTTAGTACTGTTAGTGTCAAAAGGAAAAAAAGAGTTGTAAAATAGTACAAGTTAAGACGAGATCATGAATAAATATTATAAAAAAATATCTGGTGAATAAACCGTCATCATTATATTACGTCATATCGAATTTAAATCTACTCATTGTCTCAGTTAAAGCTACAAAATATTGTAATTAAATTAATATCGATTTTATTTTTAAATACATCTATGTCCCATCATTAACCTGCCACAGAGAAAAACTAGGTTTCAAGGTTCCAACTAGTCTCTCATTCTAACTTTTTTTGGCAGAAAAAAAAGGAAACTTATTGTTAAAATACAAGTTTTAGATGTAAATATAACTTATAAATTAATATATCGTGTAAATATCAACTCCCTACTAGCCCTCAATGGCTATGTGTCAGTAATGTACATCTAGCATTAGTTTACGAGTCAGGAAATTAGAGGATATAAAATGATGGACGGAAATGATTTAGTTACTGAAACTTCAAGAAGAGGTATTATTTCACAAGCATGGACACGAATTTCTCAGGTAAATTTCATATTTGGGGTTATTATTTTAGATTTTTAAGAAACTGACAGAACATTCTTACAATTATCTTTTAGTGAGTTGTCATATCTTTATGCCGCGAATTATGAATACTACAATTCACCGGTCAAATCATTTATTCAATACCTGTAATAAACCTGTATGTAATACTACTGTTATCACATTGTATTGAAATAACATCATGAATATCAACTTCACTAACCAAAAACTATTGCTGTTTAATTTTGTAGTAATAAGTAGGTATATGAATATTGTTATAATCTTAATTGAATTACTGTAGTTTTCTATTCCTTCATTATCATTCTCCAAGATGACTAACCTTGGTTGGACTTATAAAAAAGAAACCATTGTTAACCAGATTAGAAAATATAAGATTCAAAGAAACAATCATGTAGCGCAAGAGGAATTAATAAGTAATGAAATATTATTACAGATTTACCAAGGAACATTAGATAAATGGACACCACATGCCAAGTTTCGATGGGGTGGAAGTTTTGTACTTCTACTTTTGTTTATGCTACGAATATTCACAAAGCAAGTAAGTTATGCTTATCTTATCTTTTTTAGTACTGTTTCAACATTTAATACAACTAACAAAATGCTGATAAATGTAGTCATTGTAATGAGGATATCCTTGTTATCATATGTTATAAGTAATAATATTTCTACTGATGTAATAAATCACAAATATACATCACTAATCTATCTATTTGAATTAGTATGTATATGAAACCAAAACTAAATCAAAATACAGGCTTAGGGATGTGGTCTACCTTACCACAGGTCATCTTAATCTGATATCAAAATATTTGTCCAATTATAGAAAGTACATAATGTTTCATCAAACATATTCATAAAAGTGAAGTTTTATGTATGCCTATTTAAATGATATATATGTTTATTTGAATTAAGTTTTCTTACTTAACCTCTTGTCTGTTGAAAGATGCAGATAAGATAAGGGCTAAGGTGTAATCAATTTATAACAAAATAAAATACCTCAACAAACAAATTCTTGCATAAATCTGATATGCAGAGATTCACTAATGCTTACTATGATTCAAATGAATGCAGTTCTTTACAGCAACAGTTTCTTTAGAGGCTCACAATGAAATACAATAATTTTAATTTCTATAACCGTTACAATTTATCAAAACTGTATTTCTCAGTATGCATGTAAAATTTACATTTTAATTTAGTGCCATTATTTACATACTTTTATTATCTCTGTTCCAGGGATGGTACATTGTCACATATGCTTTGGGTATTTATCATTTAAACCTGTTTATTGCATTCCTTACACCCAAGATTGATCCTGCCATGGACTTTGATGGTAAGAATGACATTTATTTTCATTTTAATTGCTTTATATTTTTTTTTTATCCAAACAATAATTTCACTTCATGCAATGGAAAATAAAGATCTTTTTTCTATAATTCATTCTCCTTTATTCTCTCTGTCCCTATCTCACTCTCTATATTGTCTTTTGTCTAAACTAGGTATATCCAACTAGGTCACAATCCATCATGTAATACTTTTTGCTAGGAAATGTTCCGATAAGATCAATAAAAAATATTGATTTAATAAATATAAATTAGTATTTATATTACAGTTAATTAATATTTGACATTAAAACACTATTATACTCACTATTGTATCTTTTTGCCTACACGGAAATACTGAGTTTTCTCATAGTATTCCTCAACTTTTCCTTAAAATATTACCTTCCTATTTTCTATGACTGTATGTCATGGCCTAAAAAGCCATACAGTGCATACATATTTATTTGTGTTTGATTATTGAATCTCTCAAACCCACATCTCACTAAACAGTGTTCAGAGAATGTGAATTAAACAAGCACCATGATTTCTCTGTGGGTCTCTCTGCCCACAGTGAGCAGAACCTTAATTGAATTTGATTGGCTATTATTGAGATGTTAAGAAATACATGCTGCTCTCCGTCATCTATTCAACATAATAATTTTTTTATTTCGGAACCCGACACCATCGCAACTTTATGTTATTAGTAAGATGTGTCAAATCCGAAACCCCTTGTTCATGTCACACTCACTCAACCAACCCAGAAGTTTTTGTTGTGTCCAATGTGTCCTCTAATCAATCATAATTCTTAGATTAAATAAGGCGCGAATATTTCGCAATCACACACCGAGACGCGACGCGCACATCTTAAAAGAGCGACGCAAAAAAACAACTTATTTTCTACAAAATAAAATGTACATTTCAATGCTGACACCGCGGACCGCGCGAACAAAATAAGTTGTTTTTTTTTTTCAGTGTTAATGTAGGAATAATAGTGTAATGCCGCAGTGCCATTGCCATTGACCACCGGAAAGCGTATGTTAGCTAGCTCTGCTTTTCTTTCAGAAAATGAAAATGTCATCTATATTCTAAACTTTACTATCAAGCCTGCAATGATGACATCATTGTTTTTCAGAACCATTCTTATCAATACCAAAAAGACGTTAAACACGTTATGTTTAATTTTCCTTATAGTAACCGGTACACTCGTCCTTACTGTACATAATACTTATGTGTTTAAGTTCTTGTTCAGTTTAAAGCTTTCCCGCATCTAGATCGTTGAATTGTGTCGTTAGTGTATTTACTTAGTATACGCATCAATGATCCGATAGTCTGTCAAGTATATTCCAAACTGCGAGACATAACATGCCAAGCGCACGCTTGCATAGTGGTGGTCGGCTAGCTGTGTCATGTCGCTGCGCACGCACAATTATATTTATTTTGTAATGTTTTAGGTGATGATGATAACGGTCCGGCCTTACCGACCAGAGCTACTGAAGAGTTCAGACCGTTTATCCGAAGATTGCCTGAGTTTAAATTTTGGCTCTCTGTCACTAAAAGCACATTGATAGCTTTCTGTTGTACATTCATAGATGCGTTTAATATTCCAGTATTTTGGCCAATATTAGTAATGTATTTTATAACCCTATTCTGTATTACTATGAAGAGACAAATCAAGGTAAGAACTATTTTTGTTATGCACTTCATTAATTACAATTATTTATTCTTCGTTTTTTTTTGTTTGTAAACTCCATTCTACCTTCCATCTAACAAACTCCATTCTATCTAACAAACTGTTAAATATTCTAATAAATTATCATAGTTTATATATTATTAGATATATAGTTCATAGTAAATTAGAATACCTAATAAACTATGAGGGTAGAATGAAGTTTACAAAAAAATTGGTTAATTTTTCTTGGCGTGATAAATACGTTCCTAAGTTACTAACATACATACGTAACCTCAAGCCTGTCCCCCATGGGGATGTAATATTAATAGTACTGTTACGTTAATCTATGTTTTATGTTAATAATATGGTTTTTTTTTCGCAGCACATGATCAAGTACCGGTATCTACCATTTACTCATAGCAAACCAAAGTACAAAACTGTTGATCCTGCTGTTACGGTGAACTGACGATATACATTAACATAATATGTTAATAAGAACCTTCAGGAGTCTTAGTTTAATTAACTTAAAAACTGTTGTATGCAAATATTTCTAGAAATACAGTTTTTATTGTATGTTTCCTCATGTTTAAGTTATTTTATTCTTAATTAAGTAAATGGTTTGACAAATTATAAATATGCTTTTTACGATAGATCCTAATAAATTAATACTTGCAAATGATGCTATCGAAGATGCCTCGGGTCGGACATCAAAGCCTCGAGTACAGGCGGCAAGTCGTAAGGCTTTCGGTCTGTTATCGGATACATTTAGAAGAGTGTACGAGGATACGGGAAAATCGCACAACTTTTCACCATCGAACTATCAGACAAACGGCAAAACAAAAGGTAACAACACAAAATAAAAAACGGTACGATAAAAGGACCAATAAATAGTACAGGAAAACGGGGTGAATAAATACAGAAGAGGGGTGAATAAATGTTGAGAAAATATTCTAACACTTATCCACCCCACCAATAGCAACAATAGAAATTCCCCGAAAATGAGGACGCAAACAGAGGGCTAGGACTTAGCATCTGAAAAACAATTACTAAACTTAACGCTGATATTCCTTGAGAGAGTAGCATTAAACAGTTAAGATTACACAAATTCAATAAAATATGTATTTTTATTAGTAGAACTAATCACATACATGCATTGTGTAATTTGCGACCTAGGTAGGTACCACCAGCTTGGTAAGTAGGTGTTAAAATTATACCTAATAAATTAAATTAGGTATGTATATCAAAAGAATATTATAATGAGCAGATTTATTTATCTAAACATGAGAAATGGAATATTCCAGAAAATGATAATCTACATTCGACTACACTGAGTAGGCAGGTTTTACAAAAAAAAAAACGTTTAATTAAGCGTCCATAGCATAGTGAGCTGTATTGCCATAATTTACGTTTAGTAGTACTAGGTACTCTTGGCAGGCGGGTTCCAGTCTTCGAGATCGCGGTTTATAAAAGGTCAGATTTAAAAGGCTAATGTTACCCTAGCCACAGACAGAAGAACCGGGGTGATGTTAAATCTACCTGAGTACTTACGGTAAAATGGGGTGAATAGGGTTTGAGCGGCGAAAAGGGACAGATGAGGGGTAAATCGATACTATGAAGAATTTCCTTATATCTATTTACTTCTTCTGTCCCTATTCACCGCTCGATCCCTATTCACCCCATTCTACGGTAGTTACCTACTCTTCTCAGCAGTCACCACAAGGCTGAAGTAGGTCAGCTATAGCTGAGGGGCCCGTGATTGTTTTGAATAGCTAGGTATGGGTACCACAGAACCACCCATTCATATCATACTTATACCTAATTAATTATGCTTAAAGACATAGGCATATAAATAGGTACCAACCTACCCACCAACAATTTAGGTCACTATAGAGAAAAGTAGACAAACGGTTTTAATTACAAAAATCTACATCGACCGCTGCATGTTAGAAGAACAATGTTCAGAAATAATCACAAATGCTAAATTTGTGGTAAACTGAGGTAGCAATTAATACGTCGACGGTAAACCATTGCAATAAAATCATCTATTTTTAGTATCTAGGTACTTCCACACTTATTAACTTCGTAGGTAACTAACTCTGCACCTTTCATCCAAACCTAATGACAAGAATAGACATTTGACAGTTATTAATACAAAGCAATTGTTTCACGCATTATATCTACCTAGGTACCCCTGAAATAAAAGTATAAATAGTCGCTACAGCGAATAGCGATAAAAATAATATGGTAGGTATATACGATCTAGCTGTTGTTTGGGCAGCAGCCCGATTAGAAACTAACTATAGTATGAATGCCTACCTACTTTCGTCTGATGACCTACATTATTAGCTTCAGTGTCAATAGATACTGCGATGATTTTAAGCCTGGAAAGTTGTTGATTAACAATTTAATATTCATTCAATAGGTGGTACATAGTAATACTATCTGGTCATTTTATATCCTACTTAATATATAAAGCTGAAATGTTTGTATGTATATTTGAACGCGCTAATTTCCGGAACTGCTAGTTCGAATCGAATAATTACCTAATGTGTTCAATAGTTCATTTATCGAGGAAGACTATATTAGGCCATAAAAATCACGCTACGACCAATAGTAGCCGAGTAGCGGGTGAAACTGCAAGGGAGCAATTATTGCCTAATAAAATCATTTCACTTCGTATCAAAATATACTAATCTTCCTAGGAATCAATATGGTTCACGCAGTAGACTTAGGTATGAAATTGTGGATTTTCAAGTAGATTAAGTAGAATTTCCTAGATTAAGTTTCACTCCGGTTATCTAGGTATATCTTATTGAGCAAAGACACCATACAGATAATTTAGAAACGATTAAAACATGTTACATGCAATGAGCTGCAGTAACGACATGTAAAGACTACCTATTCCTGTGACCTGTCCCCTGTTCCCCTACCCAGTTAAATTCCTCTTCTGTTTATTTTTAAAACATATTGGTTCCCCGTATTATTAGTATTGCCGTGGTGGCAAGTAACTTCTCAAGCAGCCCAACATGGACAGCTGAGAACAACCAACAAGCAACCCAGATTGTGAGATTACTCGATTGTAGAACCATAATTACACCTACCGTCTTAAATTTTTGTAATACTACCTATTGCTAAATAACGTGTAAAATCTTCTATATATACATATATAATTCTAAGGTGATTGACTGACTGACTGACTGACTGACTGACTGACTGACTGACTGACTGACTGACTGACATAGTGATCTATCAACGTACAGCCCAAACCGCTGAACAGATTAGGCAAAAATTTGGCATACAGATAGATGTTATGACGTAGGCATCTAGACGCTAAGAAAGGATTTTGATAATTTCCACCCCCAAGGGAGTAAAAAAGGGGATGAAAGTTTGTATGAAACTTTGTCAGTTTTTAACCGACCGGGTTGAAATTTGGCATACAGATAGATGTTATAACGTAGGCATCCGCTGTAAAAGGATTTTGATAATTTCTACCCCCAAGGGGGTGAAATAGGGGATGAAAGTTTGTATGAGACTTTGTCAATTTTAAACCGATCGGGTTGAAATTTGGCAGGCAGATAGATGTTATGACGTAAGCATCCGCTGTGAAAGGATTTTGATAATTTCCACCCCTATGGGGGTAAAATAAGGGTTGAAAGTTTATATGCAACTTTGTCAGTTTTACACCGATGGAGATGAAATTCGGCATGCAGGTAGATGTTATGACGTAGGCATCCCCAAGTAAGGATTTTGATCATTTCCACCTCCAATGGGGTAATGTAGGGGATGAACGTTTGTATGAAGCTTTGTCAGTTTTACACCGATCGGGTTGAAATTCGGCGTGCAGATGGATATTATGACGTAAACGTCCCTTTAGAAAGGTTTTTGAACATTCTCACCCCAAGGTGGGTAAAATAGGGGGTGAAAGTTTGTTTGATACTTTGCCAGTTTTAAACCGATCGGGCTGAGACTTTGCATGCATAAAGTTACTATGACATAGGTATCTCCTTAGAAAGAATTGTGATAAATTCCACCCCTAAAGGGATAAAATAGGGAATGAGAGTTTGTATAAATCTTCTTAGCCATTGAATTTAGAATCACTGAATCTTTTTGAATTACATTCGGTAAAACGATGATTTGGGACCTAGGTAACGTTTGATAGTTTTTATCACAGATGTCCCACGGGAACGGGAACTATGCGTCAATACCCCAGGATTCTCTAACTCTTAACCACTGAACAAATTTTAGAGAGATTCGGTACAACAATAGTCGATAGAATAGTTTTTATTACTCAAACCTTACGTGATCGGGCACCGTACCTACTGGTAAGATCCCTGCGGGATTATTTATTTATTGAAACTACGATAAATCATTTCAAAATAGATAAATCTTACTTGGGCATTGAATTGATTCTGATTAATTCTGTCAGAAGTCATTAACCTACGCGGACGAAGTCGCGGGCAACAGCTAGTAAAATAATAATATCTACTGTAGGTTCTAAATGTCATTTCAAGATCTAGGTATAGTACCTAACCTAAACCCTTCATAATACAATAGAATATAATACGTAACCTGAAGTTATTATTACTTTATTTTCAAATTCCATCAACTAAATTGTAACACAAGACAAAATCTTATAATAATCTAATATAAGATCTTGCTAGATTTATGAACCTATACGGCTATATTTTTGAGATTTTTATTTTAATTTTAGGTTTTGGAGTAATAACTAATTTCTACCAGTGTTAAACACTTAACGGAATCAAATAACTACCTACCTACTACTAGACTTAGTTTAGTAAGGTCGTAAATATTGATTATGAAAATTTGTGTAATCTTATAAGATTACATAACATAGTAAGATTCCAATTCCAATTGGAACTATGGTTACCCATATGTTAGCAAAATTATTAAGGATTATCATGAAGTACATAATGTACCTATAATTTAAAAAACGCGCTAAATCAAGGATGCCGATTGCCGTCGTTTCATATTTAGCTCTGTTTCACGAAATCATCTAGAAAATTACCACTACTGTGTGTGTTGTAAACTTGTAATAAATATCTATCTGTGTAACATTTATTCTCCATGCTAATATAAATAAAGTTTACAACGCAATCAAATTGTTCTAATTTGTTCTTAATTTTGAAGGACAAAATAATATAGAGTATCGTTCACGATAAATCAGAATACCTCCATAAATAAACTAATGTTAAATAATATGTTAATATCCAAAATAAACCAATAATAAATGTCTACATTTATATTCCCACTATGTTTTAAATTATCATTACAGACATTACAAGAAATAAAGGAAATATCTATAGATTTTTTATGATGATTCAAATTTTGTTTAGGATTTCTCTTTTCACAAGTTTCTGTGTGATTTCAATTTTGTTACATAAACATACGTGAGCTTGTAATGGTTTATTTAAAGACCTTACTGGCAACTGTTCCTTAAATTGCCAG